AGCTGGCAGATTGCACATTGAAGTTTTCTTTGGCACTCAGGAGGTCTGCACTGCAGTACTGCAATTTGAATTATGTACCACATCAATCTGTCCATCTCTACCAGTGATTAATAGTGAACCCTTGTTCCTCATGCAAAATTTTGAACATGTGCATCTCAAATGCTTGTACATGTTGATGATCATGCTGTTTATCATCAGAAATGAAGGTAATGGCCACCTTATGAACAGCATCTTCCTCTCATTTAATTCCACACAAATAGGGTACACTGCAAAAGTTATCTGATTGCTGGAGTATGCACAATATTGGTTTTTGGAAATAGTCAACCTCAATGTTACATTGATAGTCCTCGATGGTGATTGCTGCATCTTTGGACAACTTGCTCCTTGCAGCTGCATGTGTATGCCACTGGTGGTGTGCTGTGAAAATGTTGATTTCCAACTTTCAACTAAAATAATCCCAAAAAGTACGAGAAATGACTTATTTTACATCAAAACTTATCCTAATCCATGTATTAGTACTCCTTTTATCATTCTTATTCAGTCTAACAACTTCAGAACCATCAGAACAGTGTTTGTTAGTTCTGATAGTGATTTTTATTTAGGTATTTTTAAGTCCTTGAATTGAAGCAGCTCTGCCCATAAAAAAAATAATAACCCCTTAAAGTTGTTTCCAGCCTATAACTTATAAACTTGTTATTCCTCGACATATTCTCTTGATCAAGTTTAAATTTGAGATAAATTGGAGCATTTTTTGATCTTGTTATTTTTTTATTTTTTTTATGAGTGACTATTTTTTTGTTTTTGTTTTTTCTTTTTTTTTTTACAAACCTGAAATTTGGGGTATCTGGTTACAGATATCGCAGAATAAAAAGTAATAGGAACATTCAAGAAGTCAAAATAATTGCTGAAAATGCTCATGGGTAATGCCTTATGGATAAAAAGAAGTCCCTAGACCCCTAGTGAAACTTGTACCAGATTTACAGGACAAAATCCATAAAATTTTAGGAAAAAACACAAAAATAGGTGTGAAAATTTTCACCCTCAGAAATACGGCATTTGAGGACATAAATTCAGATTACTCACTTGACAATGATTTACATGGAACTTTTCGAATTCACTATGCATAGGTCAATGCTCTAAGGCTTTTTCTGGCATACTGACACACATAATTGTAAAAAAAAAGATGTTCTCAAAGCCAGTCCAGCCGAGTAAATTGTCACCAAAAAAACTGCCATTTTTTCATGATTTTTCAGTAAAAAAAACAATTTTTTTCAAAACCAAGAGGAAAAACCATGGAAAACTATATATATTCTGAAACTCTGATCTAAACTGAGTATGTTAACACTCAATTCAAGCAACTAGGATGAAAGCACAAGCTTCAGGAATTTTTTTACAATTTGGCAGAAAGATGTAACCATGATCTCAGTGTGTTTCATATGTAAACTACAAAGTGTCTCCCCCTTCACAATTAAATTATTTGATTATTGGTCTGCAATTGTCTTACATTATCTAATTGCATTGTGAAAATCACTTAACCAAGTACCTAGTTATCAAGTAAAACCCTAAACTTGTCCAGATTTGGGGGACAGGCTTGCAAGACTTGAAGAATCCCATGAAAGGAGTGGAGATTGATAAAGGAAATGATTACCTTCTGCCAAATACATTAAATAGAGTTTGGCTCCAGACTACAGTTCCTTGAAATTGGGGTTTCATAAACCTGTCTGATATGTGAACCCCATGGAGAGACAATTTTGATATATTTTATCTTGTTTTTTGCTTAAGCTTTAGTTTATAAAAGCTTCTGATATTGTAAATCTGTCATTTCACTATATATAATACTGCTGTTGAGTGTTTAAGTGTGTTAGCCTATCTCAGGCTGAAACATAATTTACAAGCATACAAGTCTTTTTTTACAAGTCTTTCCCCAAAGGTTGTCTTAAAATGATCAAATGCAGCAACAGTGGTGGAAATGGAGTTCAAAGATGTAAATCAAGATTTCATATTTGATTACAATTCTACTATTTGTAACAACTTTGTTAAAAATGATTGTCACTATTAAGTAGATTAACAGCTACCTGTAGTAAAATCAGCATGATAACTTTTACTATTTTAAGACTATAAATCTCACATTCCCACTTTTTTAAAATCATGATCATGATTCTGGTTTTATATGCAACGATTCTTGGATCGTCAGTGCCAAATAAGTTTTAGATTTTTATTTTCTTTGCTTCCATATTTAAGGTTTTGAAGAGCACCTGTCGGAGAATAATGATTACTAATTTCACAAGTCATTACTGATGAGTTTGTTCCTCACATAGTGGCCCTCAAATATAACCTTTTCCAGAATTCATTTCTTCCAATATCTACCTCAAATATCTGTAATTTTTGTAATGTTAAAAGATAACAGAAGACAATTGTCAGAGGTACTTGCAAATGTTATTTTTTCTCATAATTTTTGTTCTTTGCTTCTTTATCTGTCGTGCTACTGCAGGACTTAGGCGATCATTGCCCTCCACAACTTCTTAATAAATTTTGTCTTTTTACTATTTCTCCTAAACTGTTTTACTATTTCTTCTCCCATCCATTTCTTCAAGCCCATCAAATATATTATGCACTGTTTTCTTCTATCTCTCAATCTGTCCTGTGAATTTCTAAACCCTCCTTCCTCATTACATGCCCCCAGAAATTTCAGCTGCCTCTTCCTGATAAGTTTAAGTTCCTTTTTGTTTCCATTTTCTCTGAAACTTTGTCATTGCTCACATGTTCAGTACATGGTGACCTCAGCATCCTTCTGTAGAACCACATTTCTGTTGATTCAAGTCTCTTTTTCATCTTTAAGGAGATTGTCCAGCATTCACTGCCATATAGGAGGAAAGATATCACGTAACAGTTCAGTACTCTTTTGTTTTTAACAAAGTTTTTTCTGTCTCTTAATACTCTGCTAAGCTTTTGGAATGCTTCCTTGGCTATTGAAATATATCCTCAGATTTCAGTGTCACACTTTCCATCCTCTGTTAAATCTCTTCTCAGATATTTAAATTTCTTTACTTGTTTGATTTTGGTACCTCCAATTTGCAATTCACACTTTGGGCTCATCCTTTTGCTAACAACCATGCATTCTGTCTTTTTGTAGTTTATATATTTCTTGTTTTCTTTTGCTACCTTCTATAAGAGCTTTTGTAGTTTTCTTCCAGTGTCTGCTATCAACACTGTGTCATCATATCTTATGTGTTTCTTTTGCTACCTTCTATAAGAGCTATTGTAGTTTTCTTTCTGTGTCTGCTATCAACACTGTGTCATCATATCTTATGTGTTTCTTTTGCTACCTTCTATAAGAGCTATTGTAGTTTTCTTTCTGTGTCTGCTATCAACACTGTGTCATCATATCTTATGTGTTTCTTTTGCTACCTTCTATAAGAGCTATTGTAGTTTTCTTCCAGTGTCTGCTATCAACACTGTGTCATCATATCTTATGTGTTTCTTTTTGCTACCTTCTATAAGAGCTATTGTAGTTTTTTCTTTCTGTGTCTGCTATCAACACTGTGTCATCATATCTTATGTGTTTCTTTTGCTACCTTCTATAAGAGCTATTGTAGTTTTCTTTCTGTGTCTGCTATCAACACTGTGTCATATTATCTTATGTTCTTAAGATTGAGGTTGCCAATAATAAATCCTGGTAGGGCTATTAATTCTCTTAGAATTGACTTGTTATATAGGTTGAATAAGTCCAATGAGAAGATACATTCTTTTTCTACACCCATTTCTATTCTCTATATCTACTGAAATCATTTTCTATCCATATGTAGGCAGTTTGCTGTCAGTATAGATTCTTGATTATTCTAATATCCTTCTAACATATCTTTGAGACATACTTTATCGAACACCTTTGTGTAATCTACAAAGCACAGGTACATGTCCTTCTGCATTTGCATTGCTCTTTCTGATAACATTTTGAGCATAAATGTTGTGTGCCTTGTTCCAGTGTCTTTAACTAATCTGCACTGTTCTTGTCCTGTCTGCGGTATTCATCAGAATTTGGATGATGAGTTTTTACATGGCTCATTAGGCTGATTGTCCAATGGAGTTCACATTTGTTTGTGCATTCTTTTTTAGGCAGTGCTAAGTCTTCTGGTACATCACTACTGTTGTAGATTTCATTTATTATTTCTGTGATCTTGTCTATGCTGAAATCATCTAAGGCTGCCAGCATCTTTATTACAATTCTCTCTGGCATTGCAGTTTTGTTTCTGTTCAATTTGGCCAGTGCAGCTTTCACTTCAGTTTTTAATATTTTCTGCTCTGTCAATATTTCTGTGTATTGCTGGTGGTTCTCTTTCGTCATGGAAGAGTTCTTGATTATATTCATTCCATCTCTGATTTATTTTTTCTTTCTCTAATATCATCATCCCATCATTGGATTTTATGCAGCCTGTTGATGAACACATCTTTTGTCCTATAAGTTCTCTTATTTTTTTATTTTATTTTACTCTTCTCTAAAGTTGAACTGAAATACAGATAGGAATCTGGAAAAAATAAAAACTTTAAAAAGTACTTGTTTTTAAGTCTTTTGGGTGCGGGTTCCTCATAAAGAAAGGAGACATTTAGTGTCAGCATATTTCCAAGTTTTAACTCTAGCTTGAAGCTGTTTTGTTCTAATTTATCATTTGCCTGGAATTCCCCTGGAAGCAAGAATATTCATTAGGTTTTGATGAATATATATTTCTTTTCTTTCAAAACTAGAAGATGGATTCATTAAAAGTAATTTAGCAATTGTAAGAATATGAAAGTTTAGAATAAAAAAAAATTCTTTTGAAATCACAAACATAAAATAAAGCTATTTTAAACCAAGGAATGGTTCTCTGATTTTTCTTGCAGCTCTTTTTGTATTATAAAAAAAACCCCAAAAAACTGTTAATGGATTTTTAGCACAAAATAACAAAACCTACTATAATAATCTAACAATTTATAAAAAATTCATTGATGTTTTTGTTCTCCACCAGGTATGAACTTCGAGTACGCTACATGCCGGATTCTTACACTTCACTCCAATTAAAGGATAAAGTTACATTCTACTACCTCTATGATCAGGCAAGTACTTATTTCCTTCATTTATCATGATTTTTGTTCTTTAGTATCATCTGATAGGGTTATTCAAAACACAATTATTTTTTTTATTCAAATCATAATTATTTTTTTTATTAGAAACCTAATTGTTTTTATTTGCCTTTGTGACTTTTTTTATTTTTAAATTTATTTGATTTAAAATTTTAATTTTGCTTTGTAAGAGGGCAGCAGAATAGTGATGTTTCAATTTTTCATTTAACCTCTTATGTTATTGAGATTGAAGTTTTTAAGAAATTCGTTTTGTCGCTGGGCAATATTTATGGGTTGATGGAGTGCATAGCCTGCCCTGGTCAGATAGAATAGACAGTTTTCCATGGCCAAATAGGAAGCACTGTCTTCTGTGGTACAATATAGTGCATTATTTTTGGTAAAATGGGAATTTATTGTATTTGTGATTAACAGTTTGTTGTACTGTTTGCACCATTTCATCAAAGATAAATTTTCTCTGATTTGTGGGTCTGGACTAATAGTAAGAGAATGAAAAATATTTTTAATTAGATTTACAAAATCCTTTTAATTAAGGAAGAAAATTATGAATGCTTTATTTTAGAACAAGAACCTGAAATTGAAAAACTAATTTTGGGGTCCAAATTTTTTCAATGAGGCATTGTTATTATGTTTCAGTAGATTTTCATTCATCTTACTTTTGCTATTAATAGATTCTGGCTATTTTTACATGCATGATCATTAAGTAAGCATTACAGATAAAAAGTAAAAAAGCTCTGGGATTAAAATAAGGAGGATAAAGAATGCAAGTTTAAACATCATTGATATTTTATTTTCTCTTGTTTTTAATCTGTACTATAATGTTCATAGAATGTAAAAATGATTTAAGCATTTTGATAAAAAGCAACAAAAATAAGGTGAATGAAATTTCATACAAAACTTAATTGTAATTGCTACAATAATCTGATCTCTGTAGGTTTGTGTATTTGTTACTTAAGCACAGCAAGGACAACACATAATAATGCTATTCTTGCTATTTTGCAGTACTTTTAAAAGCTTTATCTCGGAGAATAAGTTGAATTGAGACATCAATTTCTGAATCATTTTTAACAATTATAAACTGATAAGAAAAAAAAACTATGTCTAAGGTACTTGTGGTCTATTAACCGCTAATTACAGACTTGTTTCCATTAGTTCCTACATGGTTTTTCTAGCTATAGTATCATACCAATGATACTACTGAAATAATAATAATTAGAAATAATTATAATTTGCAAATAATTAGAATGTGAAGTGATTTGATATTAAGTGGAAGATGTGAAAGGTAGCATATGTAAGAGAACAAAAAAAAAGTTGAATAGGTCTGTACAATGTTCTATTTACTGTAACATGGGGAAAAACTTTTTACAAAATGATGCCAGAATTTGGGATTTAGGAAGTAAAACTTTCTTAACCTGTTATGATAGTTTGATTTTTAAAACACATCTTTTCATATGCTTGGTTTTCTCAATCATGCAATATTAAAGAAAATGTTTTAAAACTTTTATTTTTGCATATTAAATATAACTTAATCAGTCCTTAGAAATGACAATTAAATCAGGATATTTTTTAGAAAATGTTCATGGCAAAAATTTAATATTTAGTTTAGCACTATGCTGCTTGGTGCTAGCTCAAGTATATTGATTTAATTACAATAAATCTGTTTCATAGAAAGTAAAGAGTAATGATAATATTAACCCTTTCTCTATAAAGAAATATTCAGCATTCATTGACTGAGAAAGCAGTTCTCCTTTCTTTCTGGAAAATAGGTTTCTCAAGTCCAGTAACTGTTACTGCTCTTTCTAGTACTGATTGGGGTTTCCCTCCTAACCTATAGTATTACACAACAAAATCCAAAATTACCTCATATTGGGAGGGGATAGATCTATTTCAACCAATGAAACTATGTCAGTCTTATTCAACCCCAGTGTATAGACTGTGTTCATATTAGGATTAGAATTTTAACTTTGACAGCTGTTAAAAAATTGATACAGAATTTATCCATTTCAGATGAAATGTCCAAGACAGTGGTTAGTGGAGGGTAGAAGTTATTAGCCTTAAAGGGAAGAGGTTTTATTAAATTAAACCCACATATTAACCTTATGACATTAAATTGGAGTTATATGAAGAATGAGATGTTAATTTGAAACTAAAAGAGGGCTGAAAAGGGAGTTTTATAAAAAAAAAAAAAAAAGAAAAGTTTTTATATATAAAAGATTAGGTTCCTACTTTAAAATTATATATATATATATATATATATATTCTTCTTTCCATTTCAGATAATGACTTGACTTTTACTTTAAGCACCGTTATATCTTACAAGAACATTTATCCTGAACTTCTTATTCCTGATAGTACCAATTTCAAAAGATTAGTGTATCTAGAGTGCTTTCTATCTAAAAATGTAACCAGTATCTATGGTATTTATTCCTTGCCTTTTATCTATCTATCTATTTATTTCTCTCTCTCTCTCTCTCTCTCTATATATATATATATATATATATATATATATATATATATAAATATAATATATATATATTGGTCAATATATCAAATATAAACATATATATATATATATATATTTTCAAGAGGATAGAATCTAGGTAGAACTCAATGTCCAGGACAGAGTAAGAATATAATTCTTTTTGAATTTGTAGATCTGATGAATTGGATCATGATTACGATTCCAATGTAATAAATTATAACCATGGAATATTAGCATTTGAGCCTTTTATATTATATATATATATATATATATATATAATTATTATTTATAAAAAAAATTATATCATAAGTATGTTATAAAATCACTACAAAAATAGCCATTTTGTTTCAACACACTCTGTGTCTTATCAAGTGATGATCTTGAAAATAAAAAAAAACTTATTTTCAACATCATCACTTGATAAGACACAGAGTGTGTTGAAACAAAATGGCTATTTTTGTAGTGATTTTATAACATACTTATGTTATAATTTTTTTTTATAAATAATAATTATATCTGCTCTACTTTGTATTGAGCACTCTTTTAAGAATAGTAATTGTTGTCCGTATATACCAATTATATACTTGGGTATATATATATATATACACACACACACACACGGGTTCTATGAATAAGGCTATTACATTATTAGTCATATAACATAATTTTTACCATTTTGTCATTCAGTTATCCACTAGATTAGATTAGTGGTAACAAGCAAAATTTAAATTTTAGTTATTTAGCAACTAAATTTGATGTTTTTATGTCATAGATTGAGAAAAAAAAATCTTGTACACTTACTCATGAGTATTTTACATATATATATATAAACTGTGGAAATTCTTGTATGCCACCACAACCACAAAATGAAATCTGGACTAGTCATAGGATTTTACCTTAGAGCCCTTAGGATATGTAGCCCGAAATACCTAAATGAAGAAGAGAGATATATTGAGAAAACTTTCAAACTTCTCCATTACCAATATCATTTTATCATCAACACAAAAAAAAAAAAAATGACCTTACAAAATCCATAAATCCCCCCCCCAAAAAAAAAACAGACACCACTAATAACACTTCTAACAAAAATTACACAAAATTCATAATCCTGCCCTCCAACACTCTTTCTACTAAACTAACAAACAAATTAGTCATTTCTAATACTAGGATTGTTATCATCACCTCCAAGACAATTGGAAATATAATTAGGAAGAAAAATAAACTCAACACTGATTCAAATGCTTGGATTTATCAAATAAATTGTTTATAATGCAAAAATGTTTATGTCTGGGAGACATCACGTGATATAAAAGCCCGCATCTATGAGCACAAGAGAGACTTGCATTTGGACAATCAATCTAATACTCTCGTTTTGTATCAAAACAATGCTGCACATAACTTTGATTCCACTAATGCCACCCTATAATATAATTGTTGAAGGAGAAAATACATTGAAATTTTAATAACATTATAACCAACTCTAAACACATGCCTAAAACATTACATTGCCATCTTTGAATACATTCTTAAACAGGAGAGCCATAAACTAGAACTCCCTGCTGTGAGGATTGACCGGACAAAGGTCAAGATAAAAAACCCAACTAGACAAACACCCACACACACTTACAAATAAACATTACCATCTGTAGCCCACTTAGACATACAAGAATTTTCACAAACCTACATTATCTATGGTTTTATTATACATGATACATGTTTGACCAATGAGTACTGACCCAAACATAATTGAAAATAAGTGTTTTCTGTCTTTTTGTCTGTTTTCTCTCAATCTCTGATGAAGCTTTAATAAAAGTGAAACATGCTAGATTGATATATATTTCCTATTTGTTCTTTTATTTTATCGTGTGTGTGTGTGTGTGTGTGTGTGTGTGCTTCATTAAAAATAACTGGCAAGGAACTGTGGCTAAGTTTTTTATTTAACTTTTGTTATACTTTTCTGAACATAAATTATTTAGAAATTGTCCAAATGTTTTGGCTATATTTTTAAACATTATCATGGATGATTTTATTTTTAGTTTTAACTTGTCAGTCATTTTTTAATGAAACTTGTATAAAAGAGGGATTGCTGCCTAAATACACACACACACACACACACACACACATATATATATATATATATACACACATATATATATATATATATATATATATATATAAATGATGTTTGGCTACTTGTTTCCTGAGCCCACCTTTCTGCTTGTACAGCTACCCAATCCGTGTAGCAAATGCCTGCTCAAGCACATTTGTGTTTTTGTTCAACATTCACAGAGCCCACCTGTGGTTTAAACTGCATTTCTGCCAAGCAGACCTTAGTTACAGTTTCTGGGAAAGAGGACATAATCTGGCATTATCATACATATTTTTGTATGCAACAGCATTCTGGCTTTAGTGATAAAATCTGGCAAATTATGAATGCTTTGTATGTGTATTTAAAAAAAAAATTTAAAGAAAAAAAAATATTGGGGGTAAAAAA